GGGGGTCGCTGTGGCCAGGCGGTGGGCCGGGTGGTGGTGGTGCAGCCACGTGGCTGGAGCCCGTCTGCGCTGCTCGTGACTGGGAGTGGGGGGCGCTCCCAGAGCGAGTGGGGAGGGTCAAAGGTCAGGGAGGACAGTCCCATCTCTGAGGAAACCCAGAGCAGAGGACTGAGTTCACCTTTGCTCAGTTTTGTTGATACTAAAATGTTTTCCTTCAAGGAATATATGCTTAAAATAGGGGGAAAACGAGTGTTTTCAACTAAGGGAGGCCAGGGGCGTGTGTGGTGTGCTGCGGTTGCCGAGCTCACCGCTGTGCTTGGTTTCGCAGGAGGTGCTCCCTGCAGCTGGAGGGGCCACGGGGGCCGAGGACATGTGGAGCTCGGGCAGCACGGTCGGCCTGTGGGCCCTGCAGTGAAACCAGCTCTGCCTGGGCCGAGGGCGCCACTTGGAAGGCTGGCCTCGTTCTTCAGAGACTTTGGGTACATTTTCGCAAGTGTTTTTCTTACGTTTTATCAGGGACCTGTTTGGGGCCGTACCGTCCTCTCAGGGCAGAGCGTGCCTTTTCCCCGCTCGGCTGTGCACGCAGCCTGCATCCGCCTGAGCTTGCTGCGTTTAAAAACGGCCGCCTAGGGAAGAGGACGGAGCCTCCACGGTGGCCCCTGACGGGGCTTCAACACTGGGCGCAGTGTCTGGCTGAGAGCGAACAGGCTGTCCCCGCCCTCGGCGAGGGTCGCGGTTGCGCTGGGGTGGCACCGGGTCTAGTGGCCCAGGTGGCCTGGTGTCAGGGGAACGTGACGGGTGACGAGGCCCCCAGGCCCCGTCGCAGTCCCTGCACAGACCAAATACAGAGTTAAACCTTTTAAAGAAGTGATGATTTTGAGTTCTGTATTTGGGTAGTAACACATCTAACGGCAATTGGACAGCGGTTTGTACAGCCACGTTCTGAGCACTGAGGTACGTGCATGGCGTGTGGCTTGTTGAGGGTGAAGGGATGCACGTGTCTCCGTGTGTTTTCAGAGTGAGGTCTGTCCTGCCTGCAAAAGGAGACAAGTCAGTGAACTTGCACATATTTATTGGTTCATCAGTGGACCGGACACGGGCTCTCAGAACTGGTGTTTTTGCCTTGTGCCTTTCGAAGTGTTCAGATGCTGTTTTGATTCTCAGGCTTGGGAATCATCCCAACTCTGCCCGTTCTGTCTCTTTTGCGTTTTGGGGCTTTTGGTTCTGATTTCTACCGTGACTTCTGTGTCCTGCATGGGGGAGGGGGTGTCTCCATCTCTAGATGGTGCTCCCCGAAGCCCCGGGTCGTCCAGAGGCCCCTCCACGAGGAGGCAGGCCTGGCGGCCTCCTGTCCTGCGGGAGAGGAGTCCGGGCCGTGCGGCTGGACCTCTGTCCCGCACACCCCCAGTGGGTGCCCCCTGAGGTGCTCAGGACTTCCGTTTCCTGGGCACTGAGGTCCCTGCTGGCATTGGGCCCAACGCCTCATGTGAGTGAATTAAAAGTTTTTGTACAGCTGCACGTGGCAAGTTGACATTTTTCCTTTGATCCGTAGCAATAACCCACCGGTCCAGCTTGCTGATTCCCCTTCCCGTCTGTCTTTGTATTGGGGCTGATCCCACACTCACCTCGGGGTGGAACTGGGGTTCCAGTTTTATTTTTACACTCCTCTGATCGTTAAAATCTAAGCAGATATTTGTTCTAATGAAAGAGAAAAAGCAAGCACTGAACAGGAATGCTGGGAGCAGAAGAGGGGGGTGAGCACGGCCCTGTCCTGGGAAGGGCTGAGCGACGACAGCCCTGAAGCCAGGTTCAGCGTCCCGAGCTCGGGGACAGAGGGTGTCCTTCCTGCTGCACTACAGCTGGGCTGCGTGGGCTCCAGACAGTGCCCCCCGCAAGGTGCACAGGCGCCTCTTGGTTCAGCGTCTTCAGGCCGCAGCGCCCTGCCCTCCACATGGGCACGCACGCTCACTGGCAAGCGTTCCTGACCTCAGGCTCCATCCCGGGCTCAGGCAGCTCCAGAGTGTGTGTGCGTCCTCAGCCGACTGGCCAGGGCCAGGGTCAGCCACTCTGGGGGTCCGGCTGGGGAGAAACCACACCCTGTCCCCATGGGCACGAGGGAAGGTTCTCCTGAGCGGCAGGGACGCCTGGGCTCCTTAGGAAGGTCCAGATGCTGGTTCTGAGATGCCATCCAGAGCCGTTTCACTCCTCAGTAGCCAGTGGGCGAGGAAGCAGAGTGCCAGGAGGCCGGTCCCGAGGAGGTCCCCCAGCCCCGTGAGGTAGGGGATGCAGTGGTCATCCGGGTCCAGGGCCTGGTTCCATGTCAGCCGAACCGTCGCTTCCGCCAGGTACAGCAGGATCGTCACCTGTCACGAGGTGAGCAGACACAAGGTGATGGCCGAGGAGAAAGCCCGTGTCACCAAGAAACGTGCAGATCTCAAGAGCGGACACCACGGTGGACACATCCATCCCGGGCCCTCCCTGGGCTCCTCTCGGGTGTGACGCACAGCTTGGAGGCCGCGCACTGCCCAGCTCCACCCACCACCTCGGAGACTCGGACAGGGGTCTGGCTGGCTGGAAGTGCAGCTCGGACTTCCTGGAGGCCCGCCCAGGGCAGCTCTGGACAGCTGGCCCTTCGTGGAGGCTCCTCAAGCCCTGGTCAGGTCCCAGGTTCCCGCAGCCACTTCCCTGCTGCTGCTCTGGACAGTTTCCCAGGCTCCCCAGCCTGTCCTTCAGGGTCACGGACACGCTGACGCCGCCCTCATGGGCGTGCCCACCGGAGCCCACCATTACCCTGCAGAGGCCCCAGCCCTCCCAGCTAGAGTCTCGGAAAGCGGCCTGACTGAAGTCCACACGTGCCTGTAGCAGTGCGTCTTGATCACGCCCTTGGGCTTGGATGGACTGACTGGACTTCCAGAAGGTGGGGACTGTGTCCTGCGTGTCCAGGGACCTCTCGCAGGATGGGACCCCAGGGGCCGTCGTTACCTGGACCAGGCCCGCCAGCAGGTAGAGCCCCACGAAGGTTGTGTCGTTTGGGACAGACGGGCCTTCCACCAGGTAGATGACAGAGAAGAAGATGAGGTGGCCTGGAACCACCAGGAATAGCAGGACGCGGGCCGACGCGGAGCTCATCTCTGGGAGAAACAGCAGGGGAGGCAGCATGAGCTGCTGGCAGTGAGGCGCCCATGGCCCCTCTTCCTGCTGCCTGTGCTTACGGAGCAGCTACGTGTGCAGCGTGTCTAGCGATGGGGATGAGGCGTGTCGTGTTCCCTCGAGAGCTGGCGTCGTAGGGAAGAGAGAAAACCAGCATCAAGCAGCAGAAACAAAAGTCATTTCAAACCTGACGGGTACTAGGCGGAAAGCTGACCGGGCTTATGTGGTGGGGAGTGGGGGGTGGGACGCCGAGGCCCGGGGCGGAGGAAGGAGGATGTGCAGGGCTTCGGGGGGGCCGAAGGCTCCGGCCTGGGCAAGCCCCTCCCTCGCGCGGGGCCCGGGGACGCCTGTCGGCACACTCTCCCCAGTGTCCGTGCTCATGGGTTTGAGACGCTGTGCGAAATGGGATTTCACAGTTTACAACCGCCGTGGGGACACGACAGCTTCTCAGGCAGAAATGAGGCACTGCAGTGAGAAGTCGTCTCTGTTTCCTTCTGAGTTAACCAGAAAGCGTTTCATCAGCTAAAGAAAGAAAAGGAGGACAAGTCAAACGTAACTACGAAGTCTACCGTCAGATAACTTGCAGAGAGAGGGTGAGGACGCACAGGAGCACCAGGGTCTGTTCACGGTGAAATTTAGACGAGGGCTCATTTCAAAAAGATGATTTTTTTAAAAAACTTATGAAGGCAAAAGCAAAATAATTACTATTGGCAGCTGGCATTAGAACTCAAGAAAATCTACAGAAAGACTAAACAGCAAGAATTCAGTAAAATATGAGCTGCTACAGACTGAATATTTGCTTTCCCCCCAAATCCGTAAGTTGTGACCCGACCCGCAATGATGGTGTTCGGAGGTGGTCAGGTCACTAGGGTGGAGCCCCCATGAGTGAAGGGCCCCTGAAGAGCTCCCTTGCTCCCTTCTGCCCTGTCTGTGGACCAGGAGGCTGGCCTCACCAGTGCTGGTGCCCTGACCTTGGATGTCCAGCCTCCAGAGCTGTGAGAAACGTGTGTTGTTTATAAGCCCCCAGTCTGTGATTCTAAGACAGGTGCACGCTGAAATACATGCAGTACAGGGTAAAGACCCTTTCCATATAGAGATGACAAGTCAGAAAATATACGGGGACTCCCCCCTTTAGATAAGGTGAGGCAGACACACTTCCTGTCCCTCTCACCACTCATCCAACAGCCCTGGACGTCATATGAAACGAACATAAGATTCTGGAAGGTGGAGGGACGAGGCGGGCTGGCCAGGGCTCCGCGGCCCAGGGAGCAGCACAAGGTGAGGTCCCTGAGCTGCTGCCTTGCATCCCAGACCAGATGCTGGGGAGTCAGAACGCGAACGGGCAGTGGCCACAGAAGACAACTCGGCATGAGCCCCCCCCCACCCCCATCCTGACCCCGGAGGTGAGAGGCTGGAGGTTGGGGGTTAGCCAGGCCCCCTCCCTCCCGGCCAGGCGGGGGCAGAGGAATAGGATTTGAAAAATAAAAGGACACGACACTGCGTTGGGTCCCCGGTTCTCAGAACAGACTCCGTGGTCCTTCCTCAAGCTTCAGGCCCTGCAGGACCAGCGCCTGCTCCTCGGGGCCTCTCCCCAGCCCCCCGCCCCCGCCTGTCCTCAGCGGGGATGCTTCCCGCCAGCCTTTCCGCGGCCCTTCTGCGCACAGCACAACTTGGAATCCTGTGTGCGTCTGCTCTGCTGGAGCGTGTCTGTCCCCAGGGGTAGGATCGGCTCCTCCATCTCACACTGTACCTGGAGATGGTCGGTGTGCCTCTGGCTGAGCGAATGGACCAGTGAAGGCCACGTTGGCGCATCGGGGCTGGGCTGAGGGGTCTACTGCCACAGACACCAGATTCTTAAAGAAACGGCCACGTGGCCTCTGGAAGACCCCAGACCCACCTGAGCTGCAGAACGTGGAGCGGGGGTTAGGCCAGCATTTTTTCATCCAGAGGGGCAGGACCCCAGGTGTGCTCCACAGGTGCAGGTACGTGGAGATCCGGCTGGTCTGAATGGCCACCAGGTTGCCACCAACACCTGCAGAGAGAGAGAATCTGGTTTCTCCTCCTTTATTCCAGTCTCTGAGTTCTAGCCCTTATTTTAAGTCCAGCTCCTCCAGGAAGCCTTCCTTGACTGGTTCAGCCCTTGATTTCTTTTCTTTCCCTCCCACTTGCCCACAGATCTCGTGTCTGGCACCAAACAAGTGTGGCCTGGGCCTCGTGAATGAGGTATCAAGGTAGTAGCTGCATCACCTTGACAGCTTGCAGCTCTTAAGGAGAAGGAGGTGTGATGGGGGAGGGAGGGAGGGAAGTGGGCGGGGAAGTCCCAGGAAGCCACTCAGGGAAGGAACTTTTCACCTCAAGGCGGGAAGGAGAGGAAAGAGGGCCGAGAGTGAGGGGAGGGAGGGTTGTGTGGCAGCCGAGTTGGGGCTCATTGAC